TATGCAAAGCAATGTTGGAAGCAAGTTATTAAATAGCATGCGTTTTGGCCTATGGTTAAAACTCTTTGTCCCACATCGACAAAAAAGTGTGAGTTACATTATGTTATATATGGAAATATTCAAATAGTTGATTGTGGTGTAAGGAGGGCCCACTGGTATTAAAGGCTGTCAAGCTCAATACCAGAGGCATTCCTTACACTGACCTTTTTGACAAAATTTAGTTTATGTCTCACATCGGATAAAAATAGAAAAGAAATGTAGTTAATATATACGTAGTCCATTACATTTGGTTGTCAAGAAGGGAGTATCAATGGAGGAAAGTCTCTAAAGTAAACAAATAGGAAACTTCCCAGCCACTGTTACTCGCTTTCTTGGCCTCCTATCATTTTTGAGTCCTCGGCTTCATGATAAGTTGCTTGAAAAAGAAAAAAAAGAATATATATATATATATATATATATATATATATGCAAACTTCTCCTCAGGCTCAACGCCGAGGAGGAACCAACTCGCCTCGGACCCTAAGTGTCCAGCTCAGCAAACCTCCCATCAGGATCAGCACCGGGGAGAAATTTATTCACCTCGAACCCTAAGTGTCCAGCTCGGCAAACCTTCCCTCAGGCTCGGCGCCGGGGAGTAATTCATTCGCCTTGGACCCTAAGTGTCCAGCTCGGCAAACCTCCCCTCAGGCTCAGCGCCGGGGAGTAATTTACTCGCCTCGGGCCCTAAGTGTCCGGCTCGACAAACCTCCCTCAGGCTCGGCGCTAAGGAGTAATTTATTCGGCTCGGACCCTAAGTGTCCGGCTCAGCAAACCTCCCCTCAGGCTCAGCGCCGGGGAATAAGTCATTCGCCTCGGACCCTAAGTGTCCGACTCAGCAAAACTCTCCTCAGGCTCGGCGCCTGAGAGTAATTCATTCGCCTCGGACCCTAAGTGTCCGGCTCGGCAAAACTCCCCTCAGGCTCCGCGCCGGGGAGTAGCAAAGTGTCTGGCTCAACAAACCTTACTCTCACGCTCATATTCACTGATTCTAAGTTCGGTAATATAAGCCACGAGATTATCCCACATTGAAAAACTACAAGAAGAAACAAGTATAAATATACTTGCTTCACACAAATCCATTTCAAGAAGGGTTCCCTTGACGGTTAAATCACCGAAGGAAAAAAACAATCCTCTATTATCAGATAAACCGTTAGAGGAGATCTCTTCTTCACATCTTATTTATTTTGCTTCGGACTAAAAAAAAAAAAAAAAAAATACAGAGTGTGTGCGATATCAAAAGCATACAAGCATACTCAGTCGAAGTAGAAGAAAAGTGACACAGCTTAAGAAACAAGGTTATATCATTCATGTTTATCATTCCCAATGTTGTTTTATTACAAAAGGAAAAAGGAAAAAAAAGTTACTCGATCCTACTTCCTCTTCGGATCAAACGGGGCAGATTCGAAAGCATCTACCACAGCTGGACTTGCAGGTAGAGGATTTGATGGGCCAGTTACAGAAGTGGAGACATTTGGAGCTGAAGGGACCTCAGGATGAGCTTTCACCATCTCAGCGAAAAGAACTTCAGCTTCCTGAGCCTTCGGACTCTCATCATAAGGGAAAGACACTCCCATATGAGCATCAAAAGCCTCGGGATCTATTGTTTTTTCCCCTGAACCCTGATTAAAGTCGGACCTGAAGGCCTTGGCACTAGATAAGCGCACCAAACTGGAGTAACGACCTTGCATCTGCCTCCCTGCAATGATGTAGGTGCTAAGGGCATCATTCAAACGCTGGACTTTAGCCTCGAGCGATTCTACTTTTGCATCAGAAACAGCCAAACGTTTCTTATAAACATCCCGAGCTTCATATGCAATTTGTGCATTTGCAATGGCATGGGATGCCTTCTTCTCAGAATTGCTGAGATCTTTCTCCAGCTTCTGAATGAAGAGAGATTGAGCCTCAGCAGTGGCACAAAGAGCTATGGTGTGATACAGGCCCTGCGTTATCATGATAGAGACAATCACAATGTAAGAAATTTTGTAAGATAATTATGACAATGAAAAAGAAGGAAGGAGCAAACCTCTATGGCTCGAACAGGGGCAGATGGGAGTAGTTGTTCCAATCCCATTCTACCAATAATTTCTTCATCCTTGGGGAGCCACATTCCCCAAGCAACAGCCAGCGCTGCAGATGGGTCAGTGATCATAGAATCACCAACATGGATGATGGACTTGTCAGCCCTCGAGAAAGAAGGAGTCCAAGGTGCCCCAGCCTCAGCAAGGACGTAAGCACCGATCTCATCTTCAGGGTTAATCTCTTCAGCTTTCTTCTCTTTGCTTTTTGGGTTGGAAGCACCCTTGGGTTTCGTGGTTGAAGAAGAGTTCAGCCTCGCCTTTGTGTTCAAAGGGACTTCGTCAATCTCCTTCTCCTGTTCGTTTGAGCGCAATATAGCTAACAAGGCACTCTCTGCAGCTTTCCTCTTCAAGGCTTCAGCCCTTTGTTTTTCTTCCTCAGTCATGGGGAAGCTGTCAAATGATGGAAGTGAGAGGTCCATGAGATCAGCGGCTACAGCTCTAGAAGCAACTGCTTTAAGATTTGCAGAAGTAAGCAAGTTCTCAACCGAATGAGGGTCTTTCCAAACCTGCCCTTCCAGGAAGGAAAGTCTTTTCTTGGTAACCGAAGAAGGAAATGTCACTGAAAAAATACCAAGAAACTTATAAATATATCGAAAGAATAAGACTCGACATGGGAAACAGCCAGAACAATCTTCATGAAGAAAGGGGGGATTTTCTATACCTAACTTCCCGAACTTGTGAGGGATTGGGAGTTTGCTCGATTGGGGCACGGCCCATCTCCCTTTAATGATTATCATCCTCTCTTTCCACTTCTTCTCAGAAATAGGGAGGTCTGTACATATCCTTTGGTGCAAGGGGGAGGTGAAAAAGAAACGACCAGGTTCGATCCCGTGCTTAGAAATGGAATAAGTAATCAGCAAGTCAACTAGAGTCAGGTCAAGACTCTCCAGCCATCGGCGAATGAGGAGTGCCGAAATTACTCGAAAGAAGTTAGGGTTTACTTGCAGTGGTGCAATCCCCAATTTGTTAAAGGCTAGGTGATAGAAAGGATGAAGGGGGAACCTAAGAGCATTGAGATGCCTAACAGAGAGGAGCAACTCGTTTTCTCCGACGCCCTCGCTGGCGCAAAAATCGGCGCCCTTAGGGTATTCTGCAATTTCTACCCCCTCGGGAATCTCAAACTCTTCCATTACGGATTCAATGGAGAACGGGATATGACGAATAAATAAAATTGCATTCCTTTCTTCCTTAGTGAAGATATTATCTGACCCAGAGGTGGATGTTTTAGCCTGGATCGGGGAAGCATCCGACTGATTAACCGAGTCATTTACAGGCTTAGGGAAGTTCGAAACCCTAGGAGGGGGAACCCTAATGAGATTAGGGGAAGACGAGGGCGTGGACTCAGAATCTACGATCTCTATACGCTCAGGAGTAGTCGAAGTACTCATAATGTAAGATTGGAAGAAGGGAAAGAATAACTAACCTGGAGATATGAGAGTATGAAGAACGCAGTAGACAGAATGAGCACACTGAGAACAAAAGCGAGTCTTGAAGAAGCCCTTGAGTCAGAATAACAATAGACGCGAATGGAAACGCCTCGTGCAAGAATGACAACTACACGACTTCAATTCCCCTTTGATTAGGAGCCATAACCCAATTAAAGTGGAATTGGGGGCAAAGTGTGGAGGGAAAAATTTCCCTCCAATAAGAATGAGACACGTCACCATTATACGAATCTGCATTTAAGAGATCTCAGAAGCCCATCCAGATCAAGCCCAAGTTACGTTGTTCTTTAACCCATTATCATTTATGTTAGGCTTCCAAAGCCAGACAAGAGTACCAATCAGCCCAACATCACCACTGTTGAAGTTTTGATCCATTAGTCAAGTCACTTACACCAAACCGCGTTCGGCCCAAGTATAATTAAATATGGCTCAGTCCTATTTAACAAATGAGTCAACCCGGAGTTTTTATACAAAGCAAATTCTACATAGGAAATATCATACAATGGAAAGAACTCTATTTGTAAAGAAAGTCATATATGGAAAGAATTGGAGGACAAGTAACGCGAGTCCTATCATAATTCTACCAACTTTTGTGTATAAATAGAGGCCTAGACCTTCAATAAAGGGGCAAGCAATTCAATTTTTCTACAGACATTGTTCTTGTTTATTTTTATTGTTTGTTGAGTGTGTTGTATTATTTTCTCTCGATCGTAATTGGTTGAGCGAAATTTTGTACTTACAATTTTGTAAATAATTGTACAATAAAAATGGTACTATTATTTATCTAAATTCACTTTTATTTTTATATTTTTCCCTTCTCTCTTCCACCCAATTTTGGAGCCTTGCTTCCGTTCTCTTTTTTTCCTTCCAACCAAACAATTACCTAGATTTAGTTAAGGTACTTACCCCTTGTAAAATTAAGCTTGGGCTCTTATTTGAACATGAGAAGATTGAAGCTTGAATATATTAAAAAGTTTGAATCCTGAATAAATATGCCAAATGTAAAATTTTATATCTAGTTTCTCTCTCCTAGCATCCTTGCACAATAACAACTAATGTAAAGTAACTACCGTGTGAAATGAAAATTATTTGTATCATTCCGCTTAGAGAACATTAGATTTGATAATCTCCTACCATTTTTCATATAAGTTCAACAGTAGACCTGTCTCCTTTAGAAGATCAGAATGCTTTCTTAAGATTCGAGTCTGCTACATCTCCTAAGCATTCCCATTCCAAATTTTGGACTTGAATTTTCCATTAGTAACTTGAAGATGACTCTTTTTGAGTCGTGCCTTTTCCATGTTTTTACCATGCCTCCAGCAAATCAACAACTTTCTGACGAGACAGTTAGAGACACCAACTAGCAGATGATTTGAGCTCATAAGCTACTTATTGAAGTATCCAACTTATTTATAACTGCAACCACCGAGACATGGTCTAAGATACTACGAAAATATGTCTTGAAAGAGAAATACAAGAGGATAATAAGATGTTTTTCTTTTACCAGTACATATTTGTCAAGGCTCTGGAAACAATGATCCCTACATTTGAGAGAAGATAAGAATTACAAAAGCAAGATGAAGCCTCCAACCATTCAGACATTCTTGTACCTTCGTAACAATATTAAACCACTGGTGTTAACAGTGGTTTCTTCAGGAAGTGAGCTTCCAGATTCCCAATGACAAGGTCAGCCATGGCCTGGCGGGTTTCCACCGTGCCGCTTCCTACATGAGGCAAGAGGACCACATTATCAAGCCCAAATAGCTGCTCAGGTACTTCAGGCTCATGTTCATACACATCAAGTCCAGCTCCACCCAACCGGCCTTCAACCAGAGCAGATACCAGCTCTGGTTCATCAACGTGAGGGCCTCTCCCGATGTTGATGAGGACACCCTTTGGACCCAATGCATCAATCACTTCACGGTTGATGATATGACGAGTTTCAGCAGTTAGAGGGCAGGCAACAATCAGGATATTGCAGTTGGAGGCCAAGTCAATTACATTTGTGTAGTACTTGTATTTTGAATCTGGTTTCGCCGATCTGGAGTAGTAACTGATTGGACAGTCAAATGCTTCGGCTCTCTTAGCAATTGCTGTGCCAATTCTGCCGAGTCCAATAATGCCTACTGTTTTGCCACTGAACTGCAAGAAAAATGAGAAAGGATAAGAAATATACTGAAAACATAAGAAACAACAATTGTGAGCTCAGTTGATCAAGAGCAAGTAAAACGTCAACAATGGTAAATACAATCATTTGGCATCATTAAAGAGTAATTGAACTTTAGTATCACATGAAGCAGTCAGCCATGCCAAAGCAACTATACATAACTTCAGCTCCATACTCTTACATCACTACAGGCCACCAAGGTATCTGATGAACCCATCAACTAGCAACATCTATGTTTAAGGAAGGTAGAACACCGTTACACACTAGAAAGTGGCTGTCAGCCACTCATCTTTCTTATGATGATCAATTTTGGCAGTCACTACCTCAAGTATTTCAATGTAATAACTTGAGAATATTTTACCGCTCATTCCTTAATCCATTAATTGTTAAGTGTAAGTGCAGCTCCATTGGTTTACCCTGACCCTTAGCTGCAAGAATGCCATGCTCAGGCTCACACTCCTTGGCTCTTGCAATACAGTTATCAATAGCTACTTGCAAGTGACGGGATGCAACTAAAATTTGGAACTAGACACTTGCTTTGTTATAGGTAGAAAACTTGAAATTGATGCTTACGGTGGCTGATAATGAAAAAACATAAAAGCTCATCAAAAACCAGTTTACAAATAACCACAAAGTCAAACAGGAAAAAAAAACATAAAAGTCCACCCTACAATGCACCCCAATCACAAGTTGGTTGTTAGAAAAACAAAATGAAAAAAAAGGAAACTGATGCTTAAACTCCCAAACACAACCATGACTACAAGCCCACTAAGCTCATGGTCCGAAAGATTGATGAAAAATAAATGCCTGCAACACATCAAAAGACCCAAGAACTGAAAATACAGATAAATCCAAAACTGCACAAGGAAAGTCGCCAATTTGGTTGTTAGAAAAACAAAATGACAAAAAAAGGAAACTGATGCTTAAACTCCCAAACACAACCATGACTACAAGCCCACTAAGCTTGTGGTCTGAAAGATTGATGAAAAATAAATGCCTGCAACACATCAAAAGACCCAAGAACTGAAAATACAGATACATCCAAAACTGCACAAGGAAAGTCGCCAATTTTTTCACCTAAAGATTTTCTCAACCCAAACCCTCAATGAATAATTCACATTCATTTACTTTATCAAAACATTTTTTTAATAAGAGATAAACAATACTAATTACAGACACTAATTATTTCTAACCGCTCTGCCACTGATTCAAAAAACACTAGAATGGGCGAATAGATAGCCACTGTTTCACTATTTACAGGCAAATCAAGCAAATCAAGGTAAAGCAAAAATGAAATCACTAGCTGTTGTTTGATCGGTGAAAATTCAGAGGAAATGACAAGAAATGAAGTTTTGACACATATTATCTTTTTATCTGTAAGATTTTTTGGGTAAAAAGAATAAAAATTGAAATCAATTTTACAATATAGCAGTCACTTAAGGTGGAGGCTCTTATTTCCTCAGTCCTAAACAACGAAACAAAGACTCAAATTTTCTATTCTTTTCCTCTCACACACTTTCTAAGCAACCAAACAAGCGTAATGAAGCAAACCAAAAACAAATAAAAAACGAACCTTTGTAGTCAACTTGAAGTCCCCTTTCTTCCACGACCCACTCCTCACATACCGATCACACTCGCAAATTCGCCTCAGCACCGTCAAAATCAATCCGATTGCCAAGTCAGCCACGTCCTCCGTCAACACGTCCGGCGTGTTGGTAACCCTAATCCCCTTCTCCTTACAATACCCCAAATCGATCTTATCCAACCCCACACTGTAACTCGCCACGATCTCCAGACGCGGCAGCGAGTCGATCAACTCAGCATCGGCACCGGCCGTGGCATTACCCACAATCGCGCGAATCGAATTGGAATTCTCTTTCAAGAACTCCTTCTTCTGCTGGAAATTCCAGAATCGGAAGAGATTGAATCGCTTTTCGAGCTCTTGCTCGAGGTACGGTGACATCTGGCACGCCATCAGCACTCCAATGGCTTCCATTCTTGCAGATACGAAGGTAGAAGACGAAGTAGGAGTGAGAATTAGGGTTAGGGTTTTCGTCGGTCTCTTCTTCAACGATTGTTTGGTCCTTTTCTACTGTTTGGTTTGGTAGAATCTTTTGTGTGAAAACTCCCAATATGTTTGGGAGATATCGGTAGTTGGTGGCCTTTGTTTAAGATTAGCTCACAGTGGTCTGTACTCTCTAGTGTGTTAAAGTTGATAATGCCAAGGATGATGTTAGTGTTCGTCATATTTCGACACGTGGCGCATTAGAAGCAATATGAGCCATTTATGGTACAACAAAACTAACCTTCCAAAGTAGATACGGGTTATCATATAACTTCGGTCCGGCTAATGTATATTTTCTCAATTAACTCAACCGATTAGTCCTACCTGATTAATATAATGGCGACTGATATATTACAAATTTTTTTTTTTTTTTTTTTTTACGTGTACGTTACTGTATGAGATACATTAAAATTAATATAGCTGTTAACAAAAGTTAGAAGATCTTTTTTTTCTCTTTATCCATTAAAGAAATAATACCCATCCTCTGTGTGGAACGCCGTAAAACTGCAATCATCATCAAAGACATGGCGAAAACCGTGAATATCTACCGCCGGCGCGATTGAGCACCAAATTTACGGCCCAATTTGCAAAATTTGTTCAAACTGCAATCATCATCGAAGATATGGCGAAAACCGTGAATATCTACAGCCGGCGCGATTGAGCACCAAATTTACGGCCCAATTTGCAAAATTTGTTCAAATTACGATGAAATTGAATCTTTAAAGATTTGGGTTTGTAGAATTTCTGTTAATTATTTTCTCTCATCTTGCTTTACTCTTCTATATTACTTTACTCTTCTTTCTCAGTGTGTGTATATATGAGAGATGAGAGAAAAAAAATTAATAGAAATTCCACAAACCCAGATCTTAATTGCTTTAAAGTTGGAAGTGGAATTATTCCATCGCAAATCGAAAATCTTCTCTTTTCTTTTTGTGTGTTTTTCCTTAGGTGAAAATCTTATATGATATTAAGACAATAGATTAGGATAAAAATCTCATTCATTGTGACCGGTCTTTTAGTAGAAAAAATATTTTATAAAGAGCAAAATTTCAAAGAAAAATATAAAGAGAATTAACATACAGAGAGAAAAAGATGAAGACGATAAAAAAGGAAATGAATTAATCATATGGAGAGTCAAGAAAGAAAAAGGTGGTGAAGACAAGAAGAAAATTGTTGAAATGGTATTTTTGTCTAAAGAAACTTAGCGTATTTAATATGGTGTGGGGGCGTTTGAGAGAACCATTTATTTATTGTCACGTTGAAATCGGCCGAGTTCGAACCTCAATAGAAGCGGAGTGTGTGAATACCGACTAGAAAATATATATATATAATGTGTGTGCCAAATCATGCATTATGTACAATTATTTATTGAACTAGTGTTTTAAGAGACTTCAAATCAAAATCTTTAATCTGGTGATATATTCTTCCCTTTCAATGTAAATCGAGTCTCACAATATCTTAGACAGACAAAAACAAGTTCAAGGCACTTTTGATCATGACCTTTTCTTTCAACCCCAAATCTATCATTTTTTTTCTTCTTTCTGCTAGGTAAATAGCCTCACAATATCTTAGATAGACTTGAACCCTTCTGCACCTTCCCAAAAACTAAAACAAATTATTTATCTGCTATAAGCCTATTGCCTTTATCTGGTGTGGAAAATCCCTCAGTCCATCAAGACCAAGTCCCACAGAAATATTCACTTGTACTTACAAATTTATAGTATAATTTATGAGATGAAAATTTAATTTGTTTTCTTCTCTGTAACCTCTGTGTGATATCTTTGCCTGAGAATATAAACTCTATTTATGAATGCAGATAACAACATATATTTGTGTGTTGTGATGTTAAATATATATATTTTTTTTTTTACTATTTTTTTTTTTTTTTTTTTTTTTTTTCACAGTTTCACCAATCCTGTTATTTCTGTAATCAATCATTTCCAACTCCATTAGCTTTCAGCCTTTGCTCTGATGGCCATCCATGTACATTGAAATTAAAAACTGTCCCCTTTCTAGCTGTGTAGGATATAAAAACAGGATGTTCTGGAAAGTCTTCCAAGAATATTTTCACTTGGCCTTCCACAGTGGTCATGTAACAAATAGAAGATTTTCTCCTTGCAAATTTTTTTGCATGAAATTCATCAGTTGCAGGACAAAAGAGGAACCTAACAAGAGACTCTTCACCGGTTGGAGGACTAGAAAAGTTTCGAACCCCAAAGAAGAGCTAGAGAAGTTGAACCTAGCAGAGACAACTTCGAATTCATAGAATTCGGATGTAGGAGAGACTGACATTTCATAGGAATCAACCGAGGACTTCTTCAAAGATAGTGATGCAATGCAACTAAACAAAACTACTACATTGTAACTAATAAGTTTACCTTAAAGAAAAAATGGAAAGTCCAACAAGGCACCATTAATAGAAATCAATAAACAAGGAGACTGAGGAAGCTTGGTTTTCAAATATACATATACTCAGAGCCATGTAGATTTTTGTTGAAATGCAGAATTATGATTCCTTACTTGTTTTTTTAGATACGAAAGAATTAGTAGACCAGAGCAAAAGAGAACAAGAAATTACTTTGTTTATCTATAGCTAAAGAAATTTGTGTAGTCTGAATACTTCCACAGATAGAATTCTTAGACCATTTCAACTCCATATTCTCTGAAATCTCCACTAATGGAGATCGTAGTTGAGACAGCTAAAGGTCAGTAATTTACTTTTATTTCAAGGTCAGTAATTCTAGAGACAGAATTAATTACTACTATTTCATAATAGGGGATTAGGAAATCCTAAAATGTATCAGATAAATCCAGGAGGAGTTGAAATAGAGACACTCATTGTTACCAAGTGACTCGACTCTAGTCAAAAATAACCCGTTAAGGTTATGTTGTCGTATAAGACCAGAAGTTGGTTACATGCTTCATTGGAGCAGAAGACCAGAATCCCATAATTTAAACAGAAATTAATCAAGTTGAAGAGGAACGCACCAAATCACAATTAAAACAAATATATTCAAAATAATTAGCAGAGGTCTTGGGTAGGCTTCAAACATACTTGCATGTTCTGAAAATATACATTTCTAGCATAATCAAAATATCGAAAGATGTGAGCTTCATGATTCTTAGATTTTGCCTCGAGGCCCAAGCTTGGGTGGAAGTTGCGGGCCCTTCTTGATAGGTAGAATGTCACCTGTGGCTGTGGAACTGAGGTAAGCAAGGGTTGAACCACCTCCCAATATCAAGAACTTTAGCAACAATCCTCTCTTGGTGAAAGGCGCTGCAAATGTCTCGAAGAACTTGCTCTGAAATTGTATATGAATATAAAAAGTAAAAAAATTATCTTATACAGATTCATCTTACATTCAAGAAGGTACAGGACATGCTAGTTAAAAACTCGAGGGCATACGGAAGTATAATAGCCACTGAGCTCCAAAACATCAATAAAAATTCACTTGATCCAATCAAGAAGTCAAGCATAACTTAGTTCTCCACAAGTTCATCTTAGTTCTCCATCTCTCTCATTAATACCGGCTCAAAATGCACTAAATTGTTAATATTAATCAAACTAAGCCGATGTGAAGCTGATATCGGTCCTATTATTCAAGAAGCATGCTGATAAGTTAATCTAAGTACATAAGAAAATGTAAGGATCTGCCTGACATGAGTGCATGAGATTTGAAATCAGAATGATAGAACATCTATGCGACAAAATTCTAAAAGAAAAATCTCCATTTCACCTAATTGTTATACAAAAAGGACAGTTGCTATCACATAGAAAAAAGAATCCGACTAAAAGATCTTTGCAATGCAAGATATTTTTTTTTTTTTTTAATCTACCAAAACCCTTATTTGGGGTCTCCGTTTTTTGCTCCTAGTCCTCATAGTGTGACTTCTCTACTTGTCTTTGTCGTCCCTAAGAAGAAAACAGATACATTTGAATCCATGCATTTTCTTAAAATTTGCTTTTGACTTCGCCATGGACCTTTATCTTCGTCGACCAACAAAATCTCATCAAGCAGAGCCTGCTACTACTAACCAATTGTGATCCAGTATATTAAATTTTAATCTTTCTTCTCCCCCTCATAATTATATCAAGTCATAGACAATAGAATTTTTTTTCCTCTGTTCTTAAGGAGCAATTGTGTCGGTTCTTAATGATTTGAAGCGGCTTACATTTAGCATCCAATTCGAATCAAAGGAGGTGTTAATTCTTAAGTGCCCAACATTTTGTATACATAACGTCATATGTTTGCCCTACACTCATACAATTTGTCTATCTCAAGGACATTATATATACATCTAATATGGTTCCCAATTTCCATACCAGACAAATGATTGGATTTACTCCAGTTCTATAGTTCCTTAATTTCTTCTATAACACTGAAATTAACATGAGGAAATAACAAATTTGAAGGGTATAACTAGAGAATTCAACAGTGCAACATTTCAGAATTAATGGGTTAAAAGTAGAATTTGCAAAATTAAGTAATTAATTAATACAGAGATCGAGTGACATACCTGAAGAGAGTTGTATGGTGAAGGTGCATCAGATCCATACAAGTCCCACTGACCAGTGGTGTTGCCCAAATCCTCCAAATCAAAGTACACACTTTTGTCACCATACTTTGCAACCACTGCACCAGCTCTACATATTTAACAATCCAATATCAACTAAAGCTAATTGCAAATGGATAATATATGTGTGTGTGTGTGTGTTTGGATATATATTATATATGTATTTTATATTTTTATAATTTACTCTAAATTTTGTTACCTATAGTTGGTGGGTCTCAAGATCTGGCGAGATGTCTTGACATGGAGCTTAGTTCCGGTGAGGGAACTTCCACCAAGGCCCTTGACGGTGGTGGTGGGTTGCAGGGCAGCCAAGGTTGCTAGAGAAGCCATAGCCTTTGATCCTCAGTTTGGGTATTGACTTTGATTAAGAAAGTATATGGTTAAATTTTTCAATATATTTTTCCATGGATCTAGGAGTGCCAAGTGGCAAATGAGTGTTGTTGGGAGAGATATGGAATTCCATTTAAGAGGTTCCACGTTGATGGGAACTCGATAGGCCTATCCATTTAAGATGTTGTTTGGTTCTTTATTACAATAAATAAATACAAGTAACACTGGGTAATATCTAAATACAGAGCAGAAAGTGATGGAGGCGGAATGATAGTCTTCGCAGTGACTTCCTGTGGAGATCAAAAAATCATTGGTGCAGTGCACGGGTGCCCTAATGTGTAGTCCCAGCCATTGGTTTGGCTCTCGAGAGTAAGGCTTTGAGCTTGGGCTACCTTGATAGAGTAGTCATGGTGGTCTTATTGGGTTGTGGAGCATTGTTCTGGTCGTTTAGCTCAAGGTTGGGCAATGTTGCATTAAATGCACATCCCTTTAAATACGGCGGTAGTTAGGAACCATTAATATGATTATAAGTGTTGTAGTTGGAACACGTGACTTTGTCGCCTCACTAGTTAGACCTATGATTTAGGTGTACATAGTATGTGGACCCCGCAAGCTCATCCCGAGATATTAATGGGAACGTCCAGATATTATGCGATCATTGTCCTCGAGCCATGTGTGAATCTCGAGCGAGGGTGAAACTTACTGGGACGAGTGCTAAAGTGTGCTGCGTGTAACTCGGGAGTACGTCCCAACCATCTATTTAGTGTTGTTAGGACAAATGTTAGGGTGTGCCACGTGTAATCGTAGGATACGTCCCCTACATTTAGTCCCCTTGCACGCATGCGCTACCGTTTGGTAAGGGGTGCGTGCATAAGTTGAGGAGTCGATTTGTTGGAGAACTGTAGACACGATGTATCATTTAATGCCGCCATTTTGGAAGTGACCAAAGACATGCGCAATGAGAGTTCATCATGGCACGTTGTTTCGCGTACTAGCATAGGGGCAATTCAGTAAAAGAAGGCTGATTCCTGTAAGTTGCAACATTGTAGTTACACAGTAAATTAGAGAAACAAATACTTGCTAAGAACATAGTGTATTTGTTTTTCCTTTTTAGGGTGCAAGTGAGAGAAAGAGAAGTTATCAGGAGTACTCAGAGCGGTTTAAAGGAGATGCCACCTAGAAGCGAATTAATTAAGAAGGATGAACCGCCACTGGGGATTCCGCCGAACACAGAGTGGTACAAGGCCCCCGTTTTTGGGATTCGGCACTTTCTTTGGTATTGGTTTGAGCGGTTCGTGTAAGAGGGGGAAACATTGTTGGCAGTGGCGGCAATGGAGCCGAAGGCAGACATTGGGGCGGATTCGCCTGTACTGACAAGGTCAATATTGCGGTTCAACATTGAGAGGGGTTTCATTCCTTTCTCGTTTATTGATCTGATGTCACATTATAATCCTAGTGGTGTTTGGTATGAGTTTTTCATTCATCAGATGTTCGATGAATTGTGATTTTTTTTTTTTTTTTTTTCCCGGGCAATAAATTGCTTAAAATAAATTTTATTGTTTTGTGTGATAAAAGGGGCTAACAATTTTTGATAAAGTGAATTAAGACTTTGTGTAAAGGAAGATTATAAGGTGAGTTTTATTTTTAAAAAGTTACTTGGGTCTTGACACAATGAAAAAATTATTTTATTGTGATCTCATTAGTTTGAAATGAGAAATAATTTTTTTACACCTGAAAATTACAGGTGTACACAGTTCGATTTGGACCGATTTAAGAATTTTTTAGAACCAAACCGATCCTAACAGTTTCAAAAAATCAAGAACCAAACCGAATTTGACCAAATGAACCAAACCAAACCGTGAGAAACCGGTTTGGTTTGGTTTCACAGTTCCTTTTTTTTTTTTTTTTTTTGCTACAGAATTATTCATATTTCAAACTCCAAATGCACAACAATAAACCAAGTTAAACAAGAGATTCATAACTGCTAATATATTTAAAACTTTTAATTCATTATTCTCTATCACTTCTGAAACTAGAGTGAATACATTCATAATTTCTAATAACCTAATATATTCAGACTTACTAATTGAACAACAAACATCTAACCACAATTCAAAAAACCAACAAAATTTAGTTAATGTAAATCAATAAAAAATAAGAATCATCTAATATTAAATTTATAAGACTTAGAAAATTAAGAGTGGACCGTAGGATTGATAGTTGCTACAAATTTTTAAGCGATTTGGATTGTAGGATTATATATATATGTGTGTGTGTGTATATAACTAAATCGTTCGGTTATCCGGTCCGATGTGATCCGATTTAAATTTTTGGTTTGATCGAATTTTTGTACGCCCCTGTTAAAAATAAGATTGTGTATATGTATCGTACTAATATTATTATTTTTTTCTTTTTTATCATTACCGGTGTAAATATTAGAGACTTTGAATTATGTAGAATTAATTGAAAAACTCTAAAACCTTTCTTATTTCTTAAAAGCCTCCCTTCATAGCCTTTTTAACAAAAGGGCATCATGACCCAATTTTTTTATTTATTAATTTATTTTTAGATAAAAAAGATTGTGACTTGAAAGCCAAGTTCCCTTCATAATTCTTACACAAATAGGAGAATCAAAAAGATTTTCTGAGATTTTCTTGATACACATATATGTGTATATATACGTCTATATACAGAACAGAGGAACCTCTACCCGATTATCTTCACATCAAGCCGCCTATATATACATTCACATCGAGCCGCCTATATATACAGTCACATCGAGCGTGTGTGGCCAACGCTTCTGTCTTACGGGAATTGACCGAGTGTGTCTATATATAGACCCGATCGAGTTGGGCTTCTGTCTACGCGAATGAGTGTGCGGTCTGTGGAAAAATTTGGTAATAATCTGAAGAAACCATGGTCTGTTCGGGGACGAAGGTGGACTCGAGAGCAAAAGCGAGATTTAAGAAAAGGAGAGAGTGTTTGAAGAAGAAAACTATGGAACTCTCTGTTTTGTGCGACATCAATGCGTGTATGGTCTGCGTGGGGCCTGAAGGCGAGATCGAGACGTGGCCGGAAAACCCTAGCAATGTGAAGAAGTTAATCGATGTTTACAAAGAAAATTGCAAGAAACGCCAAGTGATCCATAAAAGTGCTGATGATGATGTGCTGAGAAAAGATGGCTTCAAGATGGTGATGCCAGATTGGAATGAGGCTTCGCTTAATGGGTTATCAAGTGAGTCACTGATGGGTTTCAAGGGATGCTTAGATTCCAAGTTGGAGGCCATAACAAAGAGAATTGAGTTTGTGAAATTTGGCCCCTCACTACCAGTTGCCTCCATCACCAACCACCAACAGAATGACCTAGCTTTGTCTCAGTGGTGGCTTCTCTATGGATGAATGTACTTAGCACATACTCTGATTATGTATATTTGGGATATGTTGTTTGAACAATTATTGTAACTATTCATTAATTCTTTAATTTTGCAAATTCTACTTTTAACCCATTAATGATGAAATGTTGTACTGTTGAATTCTCTAGTAAAACCCTTCAAATTTGTTATTTTCTCATGTTAATTTCAGTATTTTGGAAGAAATAAAGGAACTATAGAACTGGAGTAAATCCAATCATTTGTCTTTGGGAACCATATTAGATGTATATATTATGTCCTTGAGATAGACAAATTTGACTAGGAGCGAAAAAAGGAGACCCCAAATAAGGTTTTTTGGTAGATTTTTTTTTAAAAAAATGATCTTGCATTGCAAAGATCTTCAGTCGGAATTTTTTATTTTTTTTATTTTTTTTATTTTTTTCTATGAGATAGCAGCTGCCTTTTTGTATAACAATTAGGTAAAATGGAGATTTTCTTTTAGAATTTTGTTGCATGGATGTTATACTACTCTGATTTCAAATCTCATGCTGTCATGTCAGGCAGATCCTTACATTTTCTTATGCGTTTAGATTAACTTATCAACATGTTTCTTATATAGTAGGACTGCTATCAACAATTTAGTGCATTTTGAGCCGGGCCACACCACAAATGAAGTCTCTATGCCTAAGATGAACTTGTGGAGAACCAAGTTATGCTTGACTTCTTGAGTGGATCAAGTGAATTTTTATGGATGTTTTATTTTTTTAAAACAGAAAGCCAGAGTCCTCAAATATACCGTCACATACTATCATCAAAGTCAATGATGGTGCTCCAAAGGAATTGAGACATTGCAAGTGCAAACAATCAAGATGTTTGTAGTCTTAAGTGCCATAACTCTTTGAATGCAAGTCGTAAATGCATACTAATTCAGTTCAAGTAAGGGAGTTTATTAATAGCTTAATTAGACTACCATTCCCAGTCTCAGATATGTGGCACACTGCCAAAGATCACTTAATTTCTCTCTGTCATTTTGTTTCTTGCATAGAAAAATTCTCTCACAACAAAACTCAGTCGAATATTTTTCCTTATTTATCCTAATGTTGATAAAGTAAAAAGGGATTGGGTGTTTCTTGAGGAGATAAACCCAAAGAAAGCACACTTACTTTTAGCTCATAGTTTCACTCTTGCTTTTGGCTGATGAGCATTGTTATTGTTTTGTTATATAAGTTTATAAGGTTAACCGTGTCAGCACTTCTGGTTCCTCCTCTCCCTCATCTGTACCCCCGATTTGTCAGACTGTTACTTCTGCAGCACTGGGCACTTCGAAGTTCACTTACAGGTTTATATCTTTGCTAACTTTATACTCACTTCATTAGAACTATCCATGCTCATTTGTCCAGAAGAACTGATTAGTTTTGCTAGTTATGGCAGAAGGTCTGTGTTAGCTGGGACCATCCGACCACAAGACATGATAGAGCTTTGTTCAATTTTGCTGGCAGTATCAGAAGCTGCTAAGGTTCTTGTAGGTATAGTACGATATAGATAATATACAAACATTTGGTGGCTTATAATACCTTGCAGGTTTTGAATTTTCATAACCATGCCCCTCTCATTGCTTTATGGAATCAGAATTTACACTTCGTCAAAACTTTATACATAGTGGTGAGGGCCAATCCTTCAAATGGGTTGAGATTTTCAAAATTCATGAAAGTACTTTTCTCATCTATTCTTTTCCCTCGTATCTAAACTTGTATATCTTTGTATCTGCGCATGCATCAAGAAGTTTGTCTGGTTTAATTAACTAAACCTAAATGTAAAACTCAATACTAACTATCTTAACCACGCCATTTCTATGTGATATTCCTTAAATTATTTTCTGATTTTATCTGAGTAATAAGGCTCTTTGAATTCTTCTGTTCATTGCACTTTTAAGCATGTCCTTCAATCCAACTGTAATGCTCTACTTGGGTTTTTCATGCGATTTTGTTCATCATTTTGCGAGGTTTTTTAAGCTGTTTCAATAGACAATGTAATGGATATTGAACTCAAATGGGATTTTTTATTTTAGTTTTGTATTCATTGTTCCTAGACAAAAATGGTTCCATCAATGTACAAATTGAGAGAGAAAACCAGACAGGCAGTTTCTGTGCTGCCCAATATGAGAAGTACTGCCAAGAAGCACCTGAGGTCCAGAAAGCTGTGCCAAATGACGATTTGAATGGAAATCAAGTTGATATAATTGGCAAAGACGATTCCAGATCTGGTGGTGATGATGTGCAGAATGGAAGTCCAATGTCTCCTAAAACGCTCGCATTGATTTGTGGTGAGAAAGATAAGTTGTTCACACCAGATGCTTGCTCAGACCGGATTTGGAACCATGGCTGCAACACAGATGTCAATGCAGAGCAGGAAAGGCTTGTGTTGGCAAAGTTCAGGGATTTCCCTAATAGGATCATCACTCGTGGAATCATAAAAGGTAGTGCTTTTGTATCTCATCCTTCTAAAATAGAGTAGTTACAACTTTTAATTGAATTATGAACATTAAAAGATTATATTGACTACACCTACAGTTGTAAAACTATTGGTTTGGAAGAGGTTCAAACTTCAAACAAGGATCCAAGTAGCTTGTCTTTAACCTAGGCAGCAGATGGTTTCAATGATTACATTGTCTATTGTCCAAATACCCTAGTTTGTGCGCCATTTTCTCCGTGAAATGTGACATACAGGAGAAATACCCTAGTTTGTGTGCCATAATTGTTCTATTCTTTTCCTTTCTTTTCTTTTCAAGTTGATTTATGACGCTATATTAGGGTGTTTGCCATCAAAATACTATCCGACTAGTGTGCCTGGTCACTAATAAATAACTCCGAAATTTTGAGTGTACTAAAGATGTGTAAAAAAAAATTTGGACCAAAGCGAGTCAATGTGTTTGATAAACTATCATTGAAAAACATCACTTAAAATAAAATCACTTACCCTACCTAAATTAATAATTCAGAAGAAGTTTAAAAGCTTTCTAGCTGCTCTATATATGATTAAACGAGACCTGGGAAAACTATGGTGCCATGCTTTTCCTTCTTGCTACTTAAATTAGTGAAGTCATGACCTAGAATGTTGTCTTGTCCAAATTAATTTTGTGGTATTGGGATGAAAACATTAGGGCATTTCTGCACTATCTTCTGCTGTGGTATGGTTTTGGGGAAACTTGGAGTAATTGGTCATGCTGGGTCTCATATGTCCATTACTCAGTGTTGGTGAATGGAGTTCCTGTTGATTACTTCACTGCTGGGAGGGGTTTAAGACAGGGATGCCCTTGTCTCCTCTCCTCTTCAGCTTAGTCACTGATTTCTTTACTCAAATGATGAGTGGAGCTATAACTCAAGGTCAAATTGAGCTTTGTGACTCTGTGAGGAAGGTAGGGTCTGTTGTCTCTAATTGCTTTTTTGCTGATGATCTCTTCATCATCTTGAAAGCCTCTATGACGAATGCTAGAAAATTGAAAGCTATGCTTGAGGAGTTCAGCAATATCTCTGGATTGAGGGTAAATATTGAGAAGAGCTTAGTCTTCTTCTCTAGATCAGTTAAAAGAAAGAGAAGTATTCAGAGAATCTTGAATTTCAAAGAAGGTGCTCTTCCACTGTCTTACTTAGGGCTTCCTCTAGTTGCAGGTAATCCGAAGAGGGCTCAGTGTTCAGAGCTGCTGGACCAAGTTAACTCCAAACTTGCCTCCTGGAGCTCGTTCAATTTATCTATGGCAGGTAGATAGAGCTTATCAAGTCTGTGATATCCTCTTATTATTACTTTTGGGCTGCAGTTTTTTCTATTCCAGTTGGAGTTCAGGATGAAATAGAAAGAAGGGTGAAAATTTTATTATGGGGAGGTAAAGGAAAAAAATTCCCTATGCTTGCTTGGGATAAAACTACTTTACCAAGATCTGAAGGATGTGTGGGAAATAGGACTTTTAGGAGTATAGACAGGGCTTGTACATGTATACTTTCTTGGCATTTTCTGATGCCCAAAGAGGATCTTTGGATGAAATGGTTCAAGGACAAATATGTGAAAAATGCGCATTTTTGGACCATGAACCAAAGGGCCTGTGATTCTGGTTAATGGAAGACCATCCTCAACAATAGAGATTTTTTGCCACAGAATATTTCTTACTCGGTGACGGCAGTAGCTTCAGCTTGTACTACGACCCATGGTATAATGGTCTTACATTGCAGCAGGCTTTTGGGTTGCAAAGGCTTTTTCATTCAGGTTTCCAATACACTGATAAGCTGGAGGTTCTGTATTCTCCATCAGGTTGGACAGTTCCTTCTTCCTGGCCCTTAGAGATGGTCAGTTTCTTGATCAACAACACACCATTGGTGCAACAGATCTCATTGAATGGAAACATGGCCAAATTTCTTTCAAGACAGTTTGGGATGTTTGCAGGGAACATAGTGATCCAGTCCAATGGAGTAATCTGGTTTGGAACAAATGCAGACCAAGGATCAATGTTCAAGCATCTCCTATTATTCACAATTCTTTTCCTTCCTATTCTAATCTCAGGAAAAGGAGTTTTATTGGCCCAGGGATCTGTCATAACTGCTGTATGTGGATACTCAGGATCATTTGTTTTGGTGTAGTGATTTTGCCAGGCAGGTTTGGTGGTGGTTTTCTCATCTATGCCATTGGGATGACCTAATGTTATTACCTCATTTCTGTTTTGTCAGCTATACAAAGTGGCAGTCATTGAAAATTAAACTCATAAGGTGCTAGTTGACTAGCATCTTGTGGAGCGAATGGAAGGAAAGAAACAGTAGGTTGCCTGGTGGAGATCCCGTCCTTCCTCACCATCTAGCCATGGAGGTATGCTTTGAAAGCTTGGGTGTTGTTGGGTTATCCATCAGTGACATTAGCCTTCTGTTTTGACTTACTCGTTACCAGTTGGCTCCATCACCAACCACCAACAGAATGACCAACTTTTGTCTCAGTGGTGGCTTCTCTATGGATGAATATTGTACTAAACAAATACCCTCATTATATATACATATATATATATATATTGGGGAATGTTGTTTGAACAATTATTCTAACTATCCGGGGACCAATTCGAGTTTGAACTTTATTTTTTCATAATTTCTAAATTCTGGCTTTGCGACTTTCTTTCTAGATTTGTTGTTGATTTACCAGCCAGTATTCTACAACTTCAGGTGTTGATAAAAGACCATCGACAGCTTTTGTATTCCAAAGATGTCACTGTTCATTTTTTGTTACTTTATAGCTAGTGTGATTGTGAGTAAACAGAATCAAGCAAAACACCCTTGGGTTAGTCCAGGTTGCCTCTGGCATCATCTGCCCGCACATACTTTATTCAAGAACAGCTTAGAGCTGTTTTATATAATATATATATATATATACACACACGCACATACACACATAGAATCGAAAACTTTAGTATTGCATTAATGATGCAAAAATATGTGAAGAGCATATCTTTTTTATTGAAAATTTAAGTATAAATTTGTCCTGTACAGATTCAAGATCACCTTGTAATGTGTGTATTAATCTGTGTGTAAAATGTGTATTAAGCTCTCTGTAAAAGCTAGATCAAATCAGTTGTTATAGATAACACAAGTCAACTGGGCAATAAATTCATGCAATTTCTATCCACATTTGAAGTTCCTCTCCAAACTCAGGATCAGCTTTTCTGCACAAATACCATTACCAAGAAACTGAACCAAAACGCAACTCAGTCCAAGCGCGCAGATTTCAACCACAACTCAACTTTCAAACACAGCAGAATAGAATAGAACCAACCCTCTCCGGTCTCTGCCTAATTTATAGGTATGTCATCCCTTGTCCACAATATGAATCACTAATACTTACTGGTGGTACTGAAAGTAAAGGTATACAATCTAAATTTCTTACAAAAATTCTGCCGCCATGCTTTCAATAGTTCAGCTTAGCTATCAGATTGTCATTCGCCAATGTTGCACTGTGTCAAGGTTTCTACTATTTGGAATAACACCAACAAGAAGGAATGCAAAGTATACTAAACAGTTAGATTTTACTCTCCGCAAATACACAGGGCTATCTCCATCAAGTAGTTATCTTGTGGTGGTCTGCAAGTACAATTGTATAATGGAACTTCAAAATGGTACTTAACCACAGTTTTAGAATCTATATATTATATATTCACACAAAATCGTTTGTAACAGTGAGGCCAAACAATCTATTATCCTGCATCATGAAAACTGCATCAAATCATGGCAGAAATTATTACAATCCTAATGTGGTATTTAGGTACTAGAAGTATTTTTCAGTTTTTAGGTGTCATGTGCCCTTTTACAGTGGTATTCTGAACCTCTAGCGGTAGAGTCTTAGCAGAAGGGGTTTTCACTTCACCAAAAGCTGGAGATGTTTCACCATCATCTGGACCATGACCTCTTAAAATCCCATTGCCTACCAATTCCAGTTCACTTACCATTTTGCTTCCAGGTTTAGCAATGCCATCACCAAGCAGTAACTCCATTTGATCCTCAGTAGCTCCAGCCAACAAAAAGCATTCTGTTGTCACAATGCAGATAAAAAATGGTAAGACTCTTCATGTATAGGAAACTGAGAGCCAGAGAAAAGAATATTATAATACAAGCTCGGAAAGGATCAACAATTGCACTGCAGGCCAAAAGCACGTCTAATAATTTACATATTTGCAAGACAACAAACTCCACTACTTAACATCATCCTGATGCCTTCATCTGGAAGATACAGTACTAAAACACCTGATCAAATCATTTAATTGATTTGACAATACCACACAATTAATTTCGACAAGACAACATTCTAGGTCATGACTTCACTAATTTAAGTAGCAAGAAGGAAAAGCATTGAACCATAGTTTTCTCGGGTCTCGTTTAATCATAAATAGAGCAACTAGAAAGCTTTTAAACTTCTTCCTAATTATTAATTTAGGTAGGGTAATATCTAAATTCCAATTTATTGAAATTTTAATAGAAAATTAACATGTGATGGAGTTTTATGGAATTATTAGTCAAGGACCTAGGTGTGTATGCTTGTATGGGACTCCATGGGATTCATTTGGTGCAAGGGTTAATCATATTTGAAGAAATCAGCATCTAAGAATTTTCATGATAGTTGACTGATAACAATTAGATTGGCATATTGTAATGCACCACTGACACTGAGCCTCTTGTTCTTATCACAATATACCAGTGTGTGATGGGAAACTTAAAAATAAAAATAAAAATAAAAATAAAAAACATGACATTAAATTAGTTATGTTCTGAATGAAATATTGGAGAAACAAAAATTAAAAGTTTTAAAAATAATTGGAACAAGAATATGCACATGGACCAAAATAAATAACAAAGGCCCAAAATAAGAAATATACAAATGAAAAAAAAAAAAAAAAAAAAAAAAAAAAAAAAAAAAAAAAGACAATGAAGAAAATTCTGTTGGCACAATCAGCGACAGTTTTGTTTCCATAGCCACAACACAGAACAATATGGTAAACGAATTTGCTTGAAAAACTTCCATTTTTAATTTTGAAGTCATAGAACTTAACAGATAGTTGCCAAGCCCAAGTACTTAGAAAATGGCTGTCTTGACTTTATTTGCCCTGCTGAAGTCCATGATTTGGCCAAGCCAGGAAGAAGGGAATCGGCAGAAGGGCGAGGGATCGCACTTACTGTACTGTAATAGTCCCTTACCGCGGTCAGATGATCAAATAAAAAGAAAGGTTGCCAAAAGTATGGAAATGCCCTCACAAAGAGATCTTCCCAGATAGACCCCCTCAATACAGATAGGTGAAAAACTCATATGTTTAAGACCAAAGCCAATCTTGCTTCAGCTCTATCCAGGTCAGTCCCTCAATAGGAACTAGGGCTAGGACTCGGGGCTAGGAAGGAGGTTCAACAAAATGAGTATGATTTCATAGAATCAACAGTAGATTCGGACAATAAGGTCATAAAAATGTGTGCCATAATTGTTCTATTCGTTTCTTCTTCTTTTTTTTTTTCTTTTCCCGGGTGATACGGCACACAAACTAGGGTATTTCTCCTGTATGTCATGTTTCACGGAAGAATGGCACCCAAACTAGGGTATTTGGACAATAGACAATGTAATTTTTGAAACCATCTGCTGCCTAAGTTAAAGACAAGTTACTTGGATCCTTGTTTGAAGTTTGAACCTCTTCCAAACCAATAGTTTTACAACTGTAGGTGTAGTCAATATAATCTTTTTATGTTCATAACACAATTAGAAGTTATAACTACTCTATTTTAGAAGGATGAGATACAAAAGTACTACCTTTTATGATTCCACGAGTGATGATCTTATTAAGAAAATCCCTGAACTTTGCCAACACAAGCCTTTCCTGCTCTACATTGACATATGTGTTGCAGCCATGATTCCAAATCCGGACTGAGGAAGCATCTGGTGTGAACAACTTATCTTTCTCACCACACATCAATGCAAGTGTTCCAGGAGACATTGGACTTCCATTCTGCACATCATCATTACCAGATCTGGAATCGTCTTTGCCAATTATATCAACCTTATTTCCATTCAAATCGTCATTTGGCACAGCTTTCTGGACCTCAAGTGCTTCTTGGCAGTAGTACTTCTCATCTTGGGCAGCACAGAAACTGCCTGTCTGGTTTTCTCTCTCGATTTGTACATTGATGGAACCTTTTTCGTCTAGGAACAATGAATATAAAACTAAAATAAAAAATCCCATTTGATAAATTTCGTCTAGGAACATTGTCTATTGAAACAGCTTAAAAAACCTCGCAAAGCATAAAAGCAAACACATTTAGGCTCCTTTTGTTTGGATGTAAAATATTTTTCAGAAAATATATATTTTTTATTTTCTTATGTTTGGTTGTCGTAAAATATTTACTAATAAAAAAAATATTAAAACCTAACAAAAATAATTTATCCATTAATTTTCGACAAGTTATTTTACATGCCCAGCCCAATGGACTAGACCTCAATCTCGAACTGCACCTTTGCCAAACACCAAAAAAGCAAAAATAAAGAAAATATTTTACCTGAAAAAGAAAAATCTTTTCCGAAGAAAATATTTTACGTCGAAACAAACGGAGCATTAAACTTGGAGGATTTTATGATGAACAAAATCACATGAAAAAACCAAGTTGAGCATTACAGCTGGATTGAAGGACACACTTCAATGTGCAATGAACAGAAGAATTCAAATAGCCTTATTACTTAGATAAAATCAGAAAATCATTTAAGGAATATCAAATTGAAATGACATGGTTAAAGTAGTTTCTGATAGTTAGTATTGAGTTTTACATTTAGGCTTAGTTAATTAAACCAGCCAAACTTCTTGATGCATGCACAGATACATAGATGTACAAGTTTAGATACGAGGGAAAAGAATAGATAAGCAAAGTACTTTCATGAATTTTGAAAATCTCAACCCATTTAAGGATTGGCCCTCTCCACTATGTATAAAGTTTTGATGAAGGGTAAATTCTGATTCCATAAAACCATGAGAGGGGCATGGTTATGAAAATTCAAAACCTGAAAGGAATTATAAGCCACCAAATGTTTGTATATTATATATATCGTACTATACCTGCAAGAACCTTAGCAGCTTCTGATACTGCCAACAAAATTGAGCAAAGCTCTATCATGTCATGTGGTTGGATGGTCCCAGCTAACACAGACCTTCAGCCACAACCAGCAAAACTAATCAGTTCTTCTGGACAAATGAACATGGATAGTTCTAATGAAGTGTCAAACTAGTGTAAAGTTAACAAAGGTATAAACCTGTAAGTGAACTTCGAAGTGCCCAATGCTGCAGAAGTAACAGTCTGACAAATCAGGGGGACAGATGAGGGAGAGGAGGAACCAGAAGTGCTGACATGGTTTACCTTATAAACATAGATGAGACAACAATTACAATGCTTCCATGAGCTTCAGTGACAGTACCCAATACTTAAATCAGATATGGATGAGGATTAAGATTAGTTGCAGCGATATAAAGAAAGAATTTTGAGGTTGTTCAAGTTCTGGAGAACATTTGAATATGCAGCCACTTCTACTAATACAGAGACAACTGATAACTGCATGATCCAGTATATAACCTGCCTATGCGGGGTGTTGGGAGAGAAAGATTAGAGACAGACCTAACATTGTCCATTATTTATCACAAAGTGGCTTCGCTGGTACTCAAATCACACCCTCACACTTGTCAGTTCAAATCAACTATTGGACCAAGCAATGAACCCCGTTCAATTGACAACTGATATAGGAAAAACTATCCCATCTGGTGTAACGTGAAATTTTATTTGCGGTAATGAATGTTTTCACCAAATAAACAGCTAAATATGTTTTTTTCAAGTTTCAATGAGGATCTTAAGTATGTAGTACCTGTTGATATTGTGCAAGCCTGCAAGGATCTTCACTAATTGAACCCAAAAAGTTGCCCTTATCTTTTCTCTTCCTGGATTGTTGAGAGAAACTATAACTAGAGAACCCTAAAGCACCAGCTATGGCAGCATTTGTCTGCTGGATGCAGGCTGTGGAATTGGTATTGTTCCCATTAGAAAAAGCCCACCGCTCTTTGCATCCTTCAAAATTCTTGCAGCCCTTGCATTTACAGTTTTCAGAGCAGGGGATGTTAGCTTGGAAGCATTCACAATACTTCTTCAGGCACCCTGATCTCTTGCACTGGCATCCCTTGTTGTGTTTTCCCAGCATGAGAACATCCTTTGCTTCACTCTACATTTGTTTCAAAGAAGTTTGAATGCAGTCAATACAACCAAATAAGAATATCAAATTTGATAAGAGCAAATCAACAAACATGCTGATGAAATAAATATTAACTTTCTAATGTAGAAGCCAAAAGTTTATATTCTTAGGTACGCCTCCTGCTACAAAAGGGAAGAAAATTGTGAAGGACCCACGTCGCGCTGGGTGAAAAAACTTGTCTCTTTAGTAAAACAACCACATTCTTGCAGTAACGCAAAAATTAGTACAATCATTTCAAGCATGAAGCATAAGTCTTACTTCGTATAGATATGTCATAAAATGGATAATTTGACAAAAATGATAGCAAATTATGCTTTATGGTAAATTCACTTTATTTCAGTGCTCATTGTTGTAATTCTGACTATAAGGTCTTTTTTCTGTTGGTGAATCAAAAACCTGGATAACGGATAGTAAAGGAAAAGTTAATTTTAGTAAGGCAATAATTAAATGGTGCTTTCATTTGTGCCATAACCTAATTGTAACTAAATTCAATGACATTATAGTGTACATCACAAAAAGAAATAACTTTGGTGAGGGATTTTTATTATGTCACTAATGCATAACTTGAAATGTAAGCACCGTCACTCTTAATACTCTCCAAATAAGAGAAGATATGGAATAGGAGACAAATATTGAACATTGCCAACTAATTGAAAACACACCAAACCTGAGCCTAACCACAAACCCTTCTAAAGACATCGGCTTACTGAAATTCTTACAGAGAGATGGGACTGGCACAGCAGAAAAAGTCAATCTTTTGGCACCCAATTTAGCAATCAACTTCAACCTATTTGACGCTTTTGACAGATAATGGATTAGTCATAGCTAACTGTCACTCCAAAAGGCCACAAATATAAGACCATAATCATCATTTTTACGCCTCCATAGGAAAATGTAGTCCCTTTAATAGTAAACAACAGACCCAGAAGAAGAAGTAAATGTCACCTGATTTTTGCCTTCCATATGACTAGATTACAGCAAACAGAAGAACCATACCTAGTTTCAATATTAAGTATGTAGAAATATAGTTCAGCATATGATGTGATCCAGGTCCATGCATAAACAAGACACCCTATTAACAGCAACCCTAACTCCGGATGTAGAGATCCGGAGAGCTACAGCTAGCAACCCTGGTCGTGATAATAATAATAAATAAATAAAATACTTTCTTGATGTCAATTTTGGGTCATTAAATATCCTACCATTCCTAAAAGTCATGCATATGATATAGCTAACCATAAAAAATAAAAAATAAAAATAATACCAAATAATAATCATGAATTTGCTTATTCTTTTCAAAAAAGTGTCTATATTTAGCATCCTCTATGGATATCCCTTTTATGAACAAGCGAGAAATGATTAGAGCGCTTCTCCAATAAGGAACCAAATCCTGCAATGGACAACTTCGTCAGAACAATCTCATGTAAGTTACAACAGAAACATTGGATTGCCTAACAGCAAAACAAAACACAAGGCTCCTGATAAAAAGATTAGAATGAGCATCAAATTGTAAACAAAAATTAATATGAAATGGAGGACTTCAGTTAATACTTGAGATACACTTGTAACTATGTTAATGGGTGTACCATCTAGTTCAACTTATACAGGCAGTGATGGCTTAATAAAAGCAAAAAGTCCACTGGGGTAGAGCATAATTTCTTTTAACCTCTGTAATCCCATAATTTTACCTTATTATCCTGACTTCTATGCGGACTGCTTACGATCTTTGGCATGAATGCATTTGGCTTACGCGCTAAGGTAGATTCAACAGCTTCTCTCCTAACAGCCTCGTTCTCAAGGTTATTTTGACAATTAACACAGTTGCAGCTGTTGCAGTATGTTCCAGAAGCAAAACACTCGCAGTATCTGCCCATTTTAGTACGTTAGCATTTTGTAAGTAATGCAATCTAGCAAAAGCAAATAAGTAGCAGAATATTTATGTAAAGCAAATAATATTAATTCATGTAAATAGAACATGCCTTCAACCCATAAAACTGTTAGGGTTAGATTTAGCAGCCTGCAGGGCACCATCCATCATCCAGCATTTAATATAGTGAATTTATTACATAAAAAGGTCATTTGCAAGAGATGAGCAACAGCTTTTCTGAGCCGAAGTTAAAAAGACAGATAACATTGCTTCTTGTAAAAACAGTTATAAAACTGGCAAATCCAACTATTTTACTTGTCTATGTAACCAGTAAAATATTTTGTTCAATATTTGGAGTACAATTAGGAAAACCTTTTCCTTAGCAACTGGCTTTCATGGTTTTCATGTGATTATAGGTACTCGTTTCTTGATCATATGTGGTATGAGCCAATTTCTTGGTCATCTGACCAAGGAGAGACATGAACAACCGCAACAAGCAAACTATTAAGTCAACTAACAAAGCCACAAGCTACAAGTACGAGAACTTTGATGGCGTAAAGCAATCTCGACTCCCAAAGTCCTATTATTCAGCTCCCTTTGCACTCGATTGATCCATTTCGGTTCTTGCTCGTTCAGAGAAAACCTCCACTGCACATCTTTCTTTCAGAAGATGAGAGCACATCCGCCAAAAGTAAGAGTGAAACTATGAGCTAAAAGAAGGCGTGCTCTCTTTGGGTTTATCTCCTTATAGAAACACCCAATCCCTTTTTACTTTATCAACATTAGGATAAACAAGGAAAAATAATAGACTGAGTTTTGTTGTGAGAGAATTTTTCTATACAAGAAACAAAATGACAGATAGAAATTAAGTGATCTTGGGCAGTGTGCCACATATTTGAGACTAGGAACGGACCGAATGGTAGTCCAATTAAGCTATTAATAGAGAACTCCCTTACTTTAACTGAATTGCTATGTAGATGCACTCAAATAGTTATGCACTTAAGTCTTACGACTTGCATTCAAAGATTTATGCACTTACAACTTCAAACATCTTGATTGTTTGCACTTGCAATGTCTCAATTCCTTTGGAGTGCCATCTTTGACTTCGATGTTAGTATGTGACAGTATATTTGAGGACTCTGGCTTTCTGTTTAAAAGAATAAAAGAAACATGTTATCATAGCAAACACAGAGGAAACTCTCTCGGATTGAAAATATCTAAATTAATTCAATAACTGTAAAAGTTTCATTTTTGCTCTATTCATGTTATAGATGTGTACTGCTTCCCTCTTGCAATATCACATCATGAAATAAATTGAACGAATTTACTTTCCTATTACAAAATAAATTATTAAAAGTTAGTTCAGACATCCCTTTGAGAGAAGACGACATTTCCATCCAGTAAAGAAAAAAACTTGATTTAGAACTTAGCAAAATTAATGTAGTACAACAGAGTGATGAAAGAATGCACACTAAAACTGATTTGTCTGCAGAGAAACTGTAGAAAATAAAAAAAGAAAAAGAAATTTTCAACTTTCTATTACTTCTACATCATTTCAGTTCCTATGAAATTGAAATTATTAAAAACTTTGTCCACTAAAATTATTGATAAAAGCTTGGTTGATTTCTTCTTGTAAGAGAAGCTAATAGCTTATAAACGCCATTACCTTGTACAAACCTAACCTATCCCGGATTATGCTAATTAATCCAATTATAATAGTATTTCAGTCACAAGATATACCTATTTTTGGTCACAGATCCCTAACAGGGGAATCATTGTTATTTGAACAAAGAGACTACCTCGAACTTGAACCCGCATTCTCATACTTTGCAGCCCAAACTGGCTTTAATTATTTGAATAAATTTAAAGGCTTATATGCATAATGTAGCAACTTTTTTTTACTCATTTTTCTAGCCAACCAAACAGGCTTGAAATATTAAGTTGCATAAACTCACAGTCGCATAATATGTGTTCTAAGTGATCCGTTAAACAGGTATCGATTGAAGAAAACCTACAGTGCAGACAATGGCGGACGAGAAGGTGGATAAATTGGGGGACGCAATTTGAACTTCGGCTTCGCCGGTGACTCCGATTGCTCCTCCCTTTGTACGGCAACAGCTAAAGATAAGCCTTTGAGCTCTGTGAAGTCTAGCTGCCTAGCAAGCTTTTTTGGCGGGAAATCCGATTTCTCTCTCATCGTCTCCATCATATCTACCAATCACAGCCTTTTTTGGCGCGAATTTCTCTTTCTCATTCTGTTGTATCAGCACTGTGTAACATGAAAGAGATGGAACAAGAACGATCTTGAATTCGAATCATTGAATCTAATGAAATGTCAATCAAAACTTTCAAGAACATGTTCAAATTCGATACTACTAGTATTTGATTGGAAAAAAATTTCAACGACGAGTACATTGAAAACTGAGTACGATTGGTTTACCGACAAGGTACGGAGTCAGATTCAGGCAAGTCGTTGCGTCGGAAAAACAGCTCCGATTGTACGGACAGGAGCACAACTGGATTTTTTTTTTTTTTGGTGCGAAAGAGAGCGTTTTTCGAATGGAAGGTTCTCAAATTCAATATAATATACATATATCTATGTACACCACACGCACATATGTAGGGTGTACAATACTATTCAAGATGACTGATTTCATCTGACGGTGCAGATTCAATTTAGTGATCCAATGGTCCAATTCGTATCGCATTATATGATTGGACATTGCGTCCGTCGGAAATAAATACGTAATTAGCAATGCGTGCATATTGGTGGGTCAGGGCCCTGGGTAACCGTGTTCACAGATATTAGAGAAATAAGTCTTAGAATTCATTAATGGGCGCATTGGAAACCAGTCCGTAAATTAAACCACAATACTGACCCAACCATTGTTAAATTTATCGTTGATTTTACAAGAATCCTTAAAGGATGGTGGGATAATGTTCTCAAAGGATGGTGGGATAATGTTCTCACTGACATTCAGAAAGCTGAAATCTTTTCTGCTACCAAGATAGTTAAAGATGAAGCTACTCAACAACCAGGACCTGCTCCAGATGTGGTTTACACCCTCATCACCACTATTATCCAACATTTTGTTGGCCCCGAAGGCGCTAATAGTGAACGGAGTCGTGAACTTCTCCAGAATCTAAGATGTCCATCTTTAACTCATTTCCGGTGGTATAAAGATGTCTTTTTAGCAAAGGTTCTCCAACTCAATGATGCAAATCATGAGCACTGGAAAGCAATCTCAGAATCAAATTCCAAGAGGAGTCGACGAGAAAGCACCGATAGGTATGTCTCGTTGTCAATTTGGAATTGAATTCAGCCCAACTTCATCAGAAATGGGAATCGGAAATGAATCTGTTAAGGATCAATTTGAAGATCCTACAGATATAAATGACCCTCATGAATATTAGTTTTAATGGATTTTATCCCAGATAGAATTGCCATTAATACTGAATTTCAACGGGATCAATATAAAGAATTCAGAAATTGGTATTTTAAAGCTTTTGACCAAAATCAATTACAGCTTTTTAAAACTCAATTTTATGACTTTCTACAAGAACGCAAAATGGTTATACCTTTTATTTCTTGGTTTTTTATGACAAATCATTCTCTTGTTAATATAAACATATTGGATGATTTTCTCAAACCATGGACTACATCTGAAGATAAGGTTTATCACTCTGTCCATCCTCCCACTGAACATTTAATTCTGAAAAGAATTGACCCTGATAGTGGTGCAAAAGTGGAAACCAAGGCTTATAGCCAACCTAAAATAATTGATCAGTCCTGTAATGATACTAAAAAAGACATTTCTCAGGTTTACAGGCAAAACAATTATACTAATGTCTGTCTACAAACGATAGGGTCCCAGCTTAGGAGAATTGAAACAGGAATAGACACGGTATTAAATACAATTAATACTAAGTGTATTACTGATAAACCTTCTCCTCCAGAAGCTTCCTTATCCAACGCATTGGTCAAACCTGCAATTGAAGTTAAAGGCTTCAATCTTTCACATCCTAAGAAGAATGAAGAATTTATTACTCTTCTTACTCAGAAAATTCAAGGACTTAAAATTCAGACTTTATCCCATGATGAACCTGATATTGGTTCTGATTCTGATGTGTTACCTCATATTGAGGCTTTTCAAACTGATTTCACTCAGATGCTTGATTTCGCTGATCTATGGACTGTCAAGACCATGGAACAGACCATGCAATTAAGCACTCAAGACACAATAATTGAATTATCGTCTTCCCGTGACCTTCAGAGGCACATGCACAAATATAAGTACATCCATATAGGTTTAATTCAAATTGCTTTTAAACCTTTAACCTTGCTAAGTATGGATGTACTTATATTTGTGCATGTGCCTCTGAAGGTTACGGGAAGACGATAATTTAATTATTGTGTCTTTAGTGCTTAATTGCATGGTCTATTCCATGGTCTTGACAGTCCATAGATCAGCGAGATTAAGCATTCTGATTTTGTAAATGCTCTTAGCACTTACTGGAGGGATAGTCCATCTATTCAATTTATTTTGAACATTGGTCCATTCCACTAGTTCAGTATTTTTTACCAATTCGGAATCCTGATTTTCCTTTACTCCTGAAGAGGAGGAAGATGGTTTTAACATGTCTGTTAAATATTGTTAATGCTTTGAGGTCTGCATAGTATAAATATTATAATATTATATAATGAACAGTAAGTTACTATTCTGTCGTTGTTGTGCTTAAGAGAGATTCTATTACTCGTCTGTCAACGGTTTACTGGAAATAATACCCTGTGCAGCAATTTAATGCAGAAAGCGGGCTAAACATTCCAACGCGACTTTTGGACGACCCATAATTGAATCTGGGATAAACATAAGTTAGACAGAATAATAGTCGTATTGTTCATTACATAATTACGATAATAAAAAATTTCACCCTTCTTTAATGGGTGCATTGGAAACCAGTCTATGTCATGGACCGGTTTATTTTAATGTCTATCCTAGTCTGAATTTATCTTTAACAGATAAAAACATCCATGAGGCAGTTAGTCTTCGTGTTCAAACCTCTGGGTATGATTATTTACCTGGATCGGAAGTGATAAGTGTTATTTATTGCATCCATTACAAAGTACTTGATACTTTGTGTCCCAATGCCATACGTAAAGACTCAAAAGGCGTAACAGCGTTATGGGATACCAACATGTTCACATCAAATGTTGCCACAAAAAGGATGATTCCTTGGAGTGAAATAACATTTCCTGAACATTGGACAATTTCTAATGCAGTACCGGCAAAGCCCATTGCTAATCATAGCTTGGACTGCGTTATTCAGGACCAGGATGGTGATGTTTTTCTGAATTTCAGAAAATCAGTAGATCTACCCCGATCTACATCATCTAAAGGAAGTCATCTTCCTTATCATGTTTCTTGTCCTCCTTCTCGCCATTCGATCTCGTCGGATTACAGAAAGGAAGATTTCCCTGAAGCAGTTGGTGCAAATCAACTCAAGCTGAAAGGAATACAGCAATTTTGTACACCAGGTTCAGGAAATCTCCTTCCCCATGGACTTTGGAACACACCAAGGCAGTTCAAAAGATTAAACTCAAAACAAAACAAATTCCTTGCTTAGCTCTAGCCAATTCTTCATGGTTCAAAATTGTGGAAACAGATGCATCCAATATTGGATATGGTGGTATTCTTAAACGGAAGAATCCAAATACAGGAACAAATGAGCTAGTTCGCTTCACTTCAGGAACTTGGAAAAATGCACAATTAAATTATTCAACCATTAAAAAAGAAATTCTTTCTTTGGTTAAATGCATTTATAAATTCCAAGATAATTTAATCAATTAGAAATTCTTATTACGCATTGATTGTAGTGCTGCTAAAAAAGTACTGGAAAAAGATGTAAAGAATATAGTTTCCAAACAGATATTTGCTGGTTGGCAAGCTGATTTATCTGTTTTTGATTTTTCTATTGAATATATTAAAGGCAGTTCTAATTCTTTACATGATTTTCTAACTCGTGAATTTTTGCAGGGTTCATGAATCAGCCCCCCCATGGGCAAGGCCGGGGTAATACTCCAAAGGCTTGTGGCAAAAACAAGGCTAAGGCCAAAGTGGTTATACCACTAAATGATGATCAATTTCCATATTTGGATCATGTTGCTGATCTGCACAGCACACCTTCTAAAGGCAGCAGCAGTTCACAACAGAAACAACAGAAACCAACCATGAAAGAGGTTATTGAACAAGAAACTCCATGGATACCTAATCAAAGGTATATTCAGAAAGTATTGGACCTGGATTCTCAAGATGAGCAATGGATGCCAGATCCTTGGGAAGTTAAATCCAGATATTTCCAAACACAACAATATGCTGCACCGGATGGTCGCCATAGATATATCTATGAAGCCATTCTTACTGAAACTTCGTCTGTGGAGATTAACCACACGAAGCAATTTCCGAATTCCAAAGATAGTCCTCTTACTTATAGTAAAGCTATCTTTAAGAGGCTTATACGGCCTAGTGACTGGGGATTAAATCCTAATTTGCCAAGGAAAATATCCTATGGCCACAGTTACAATTATTGGGATTATATCTCAGCTTGGACATATTCGTTCTTTTATCAAAATTCGAAGCATAAGCATTCTTGGTTCTTCAAGATATGCCCTCAATCAGTTAAGGCTAATTTCTCAAACTGGGTTATACCCTGGTGGGCTATATTTGGCCCTGATCTGGATATTTTTCCCGAATCAATTAGGTAATTATACTTGCCATGGTAACAATTTCATCCTCAATTAAGAGGACATGATAATATTCCTGTAGGGAAATCCACTCTATTATTCTTTACTGAATTTGGAATCCCTTGGAAATGGAAATGGGATTTTCAATGTGGTTATACCACTGACAAGTTACCAGTCCTTCAAATGATATTTTATTACCGATGGTGGTCAGGCATGACTCAAGACCCTATCCAAGCCCTCCTGCATCTTATCAGAAAGAAAACACAGGAATATATGGATAAGGTTCCAAAGTTAACTATTCCAGAACCATAAATCTTTAACCCATTTGAACTTGTTAAAGATATGATTAGAAAGCAACAACCATTAATTACCGAAGCAGATTTAATGGTTAAATGCATGAATTTTATGAGGAATAAATTTGTTACCACTTTTGATTCCTCCACATCGACAGTAAGAGATGATGCCTCCATGATATCAGTTCTAGCCAGACCAGTCAAGATGGTAATCAGTTTTCCTGTCTAGCTGGTTATGCACAAGATCCCAATGAAGATCTTATTTCTGAAGATGAACCCACAGTAGCTGATTATTGGGACTCTCTCACCAGCCACTTGAAGGAAAAGATGAATCCACCCAAAAAGTAAAGATTCCTCTTATCCTGCCTACAGAAGAAGACAATGAACTTTTTCCAAAAGTCTTTGGTTCTACAGTATTTCCTTAATCAGATGTTTACTTTCCATCAGATAAGGAGATAGTACTTAGTGGTGGGCCGACCGACTGCATTATTCAAGCACACGATCCCATGCACTATGCGGACTTCAAAATGTTAATTCAAGTCCATTTCATGTATAAATAGA